AAATAAAGGGAATAGAGAGACAAGTGTACAAGAAAAGGCCACATCAGCCTTTAAGTAATGTAACTGACAGCCAACCACTAGAACAAACTAAATAACAAACTGGACAAGTGGAGAGGCTGATATAACAGAATTGTAACGGAAGTGTTATAAATAAGGAAAAGAAGCCAGAAGAGGAATTATTGATTTTGGGAATTCAATCTCTCTCTCTCTCTCTCTTTCTTTTTCTCTCTCTCTCTCATCCAGAAGGCAGGCTTCCTCGAAAAGTCCCTGAGTTAGGCAGTTACCTAATAGGAGCACTTTGCTGGGAAATAGCTTAGGAAAGAATTAATACTTGTGATCATCTTCAAAAAAAGAAGCCTTTTTGGTGCTTGTCCCCGCACTGGTGTACCCTTTGTAAAGCCACTGGTGAGTCTTGCTCTCATTTACTTACATCCTGCTCTTTTACTTCATCTATTTGGGAGTGGTTTATCTCTTTATTTGGTTGCAGGTGGACTCCCCCGTCAAGCATTCGAAGCCTCTTCATCTATCCAGTTGGAAGCTRGATCAAAAAGAGGGGAAAAATCTTGTGGAGGTGCACCAGGGCAGCAGTTTGTTGGAAAATTTGGGAGGAAAGGAACCAAAGGATATTTGCTGAAAAAGAAAGAAAAAGGGACACGATTATAGAAGTGATTACTTTGAGGGTAGCACAATGGGTAAAAACAATGAACCTATTTGATGATGCTCCAATAGAGACCATTGTGAACAACTGGCAGGAAATAACAGTCTCGGCTCCAAGCAGAATCAATGTCCATCCTTTGTGGCACCCCTCGATGGAAGGTTTTATCAAACTCAACTTTGACGGGAGCAATGAAGGAAATCCAGGACCATCAGGGGTTGGTGGTGTTTTCAGAACAGAGGCAGGTTCAGTGATAGCCCTTTTTTCAGGACCAATTGAAGTTGGAGACTCATTGAGAGCAGAAATTCTGGCCCTCTTGGAGGGGGTAAAAAGGGCTAAGGAGCTGAATATAAATGGGTTGGTTATCGAAGGAGATTCACAAGTGGTAACTGGCTGGATAGAGAAGGCAACTGATGGGTTATGGGCATACATTAATGAATGAAGGCAACTCAAGTGGCTAATCCAAGGAACGGATGTGCGTGTCTGGTGGGTTAAAAGATGTGCCAATTCATTTGCAGATGCTTTGGCTAAACAGGGGTGGGAAGAAGTCATTTTTTTGGGCTACACTGTAATTTTCCTTTTGGGGGTGAGGTAAGAGGGTTTACGGTTTACCTCCCCCCACCATTGTTTTTAAACTTTTTTCTTAATGAAAGTTTCTGTTACTGATAAAAAAATGCTAAAGCAAGCAAGAAGAACTATAGATATGCAAATAGAACTAAAGTAAGGAAAAACTAAAGCCTAACAAGTGTTTTGATTACCTGAGGATCTTTATCACTTCCACCATATCCTGAATAAAAAATGTATGACTGTTCTATAGATGTTTTGACCTTCAATAATAAATAATACTTAAATTAGACAAAAAAGCAAACCACAGAAAACAAGTAATGAAAAGAAACGTATTAAAATGCCATAATGACAAATAACAACAACAAAAATAAGAATATACATTGCTATTGCTTTTCATGATTGGACAGAAGGAACTGCAAGTCGAGGCAAACTTAAGAATACAGGGATGAAATCACATGAACCAACTAAGAGATAAATCAAAGGATCACAAATAAAAAGTAAATCGTTAATGAATGGTGTAATATACCAGGCTTCTAGTATTAACATATTGGATAAGTTTGCCTTCCTTTAGAGAGTATATAAGCCTTAAATTTCCTTGCCCAACTTCTATGGTGCCATCTTCATTTCCTTGCGTTGTGTATACTGTCGATCTGGTTGAACTAGCTCCTATTGTAATGCAGAACCAGGACAACTAAAAGGTCAGTAACTTTAAAAAATAATTTCTCTTCTTGTTCCAGTTCACAGGAAGATTGAAGTTCTAAAGTGCCTATAATGGTTAACCTGTCTTTTTTGCATCTGAGACAAAGTAAGTGCTGAAACCAAGAGGTGGGACAGATGCCAGAAATACCAGCGAATTCTTAGGTGCGCTACCGGGAGATTTTCCCAGGTATGCCTTAACATAGTAGCTTCTTATGCTGGCAGAGGCATTGGCTAGAGGTAGAAGCTGTGATTCAGTTTCTCTTCCACTAGAGTCCCGAACAGTAACTGCTTCACTGCTGACCTGAAACAAGTTTGTTTCTGTAAGTTGAAATATGTCAAATAAATGTCTAAAACATTTAAATTTGCTGGATTTCAGTACATAGGTTCTCATGGATGTCTATGGGCTCATATAAAGGATATCTCCTGTCAAATGGATAATTATGTCAGTATTTAGATTTTAGAATCTTTAGCATCCAGCTTAAGTATCAAGGTTGACTCTTTTATAAATAATTACTAGTCTTCTGTTATTGGTTAAATTTGATATGGAGTGACAGGGTTTGTTAAACAATAAAACTTCCGAAGATTTTCCATTTATTTTTTCTTCAAATTAATCGAATTTCTTGGATACAACTGCTTCTACACTACAACTCTTATGGGCTTCATTGTATAATTGATGCGGAAAAGAGGTGGCTTTTTAGGAGCCTAAACTGCTATCCTGTTTTATTTATTACAAATTAATAAAAGTTACCACAGTTACTGATCAAAAAAGGGAACAAAAATAAAAAGATGCTAGCAACAGAAATACTAACCGGAATTCGAACTATATCCTCTCTCTTCCACCCAAGAGGATTGTAGACAACAACAACCTACAAATGCAAAGAAACGATCAAAAGAAAGGTGCATGCAGATTTTGACAAATTCATTAAAAATCTTTTTCATTACAGAAAAAAAAAAGTTGTAGATTAAATCTTGATGCATAAACATACCATAAACAAAATGGAGTACTTACCAAGCTTCTTCCTTGAGACAAATCAATTTCTGATGGAGGGCAGTAACTTATATTCAGAAGAGGGCACTGATGAAGAAAGTTCATATAACAGGAGTGAGTTGTATATTTTACTTTTATTATTCAAAGAAAAGAATGCACATGCCTAAATGTAGCATAAGAACGATAACATGTAATATACAGAATCATATAAATAACATCTTCATCAATATATATGTCTTTGACTTTTTCCAAAACCAAAATAAAATACCTAAGAATAAATGAAAAGGATTATAACCCTGCCAAAAAGGCCCCTTTCTACCATTCCAATCCCTTATATAAGCTTTTAATGATGATTTTGGTAGGTTGAGTACTGGGTGGTAAAGGAAGGTGATGTTCAAGATCATCAAGGAGATGCTGCCACCAGATGTTCGTGTTGCAAGAGATGCTCAAGATCTTCTTGTCGAGTGTTGTGTAGTGTCGGAGTTAGTCGAAGCCACTAGAGTTCTCTGAAATTTTTGGAGGTGAAGATGTTTCATAGAAGACCCTCTTGGAGATTTCAGGGAGGAGGGAGGAGATGGGAAGTAGAGAATTGGTACAGGAGAGAAGGGATGGGCGCGAGAGCAAGACCAAACTTTTCCTACAGTAAAGCGGTGTCGGCCGATGCTTGGCCGGATTTTGGGCATTCAGAACTCAAGAAGGTGGAGGATAAGCAGGTGGTAATGACAGAGGTCCAAGGTGTTGAGGCAAGAAGAAAGTTCCTATGTGATTGCTTGGTGGGAAGATTCTGGTGGAGAGTAAGGGTTCGAGAAGTGGAAAGCTGGGTAAGCAGTTCTTGGAAGGAAGGGGGGTGAGGGTGAAGAAGCTGGCGGACGATCTTTTCCTTTTCATCTTTCATTTGAGATCTGATGCAGAGTGGATCCTTGACAATGGTCCATGGAAAATGGGGAGAAATCATCTCCTCCTTGATTGGTGAGGAGCTAGCGCAGGATGCTTCTATCCGGAGTCGAGTGAGGATGTTGATCGCTCGGACTCAACCTGGGTTAGGGTGTTTGGTCTTCCTCTGATTCTCTGGTGTCCAAGTGTGATCAAATCAATTGGCGATACATGCAGTGGGTTTCTAGAAACTAACAATTCCCCAGAGGAGCTAGCTACTTGTGAGTGGATTCGTATGAAGGTGAGAAAGAAAGATCCGATTCCTGAGAAGGTTGAGATTGTGGCTGGGGAGTCTCTCTTCTCTGTTTGCATTTGGCCTGAAACTTTGCCGTCAGTCCAAAGATGGAAGAAGGGTAACCAAACAAATAAACAAGTTCAAAAGGATAGGATGGGTTCGGAGATCTCAAAGATGGTTGTTTTAGAAGATGTTGGGGAGAGTTCACTGCTTCAAGAATCTCTGAGAGGTATTCAGGCCCGTAACATGCCGCCGATGAGGTCGCCGGAGATTGGYGGAGAAGAAGAAGAGACCCTCGATGCTAATCTGGACCATCCAATCTTAAATCCTATGGAGGGTCAGGATCCTATCTCAAGGGATAGCTTCGAGGATCGTGCGCAAAAGTTAAAGTTGGGAAGTAGTGGGGGAGATTTGATGGTTGAGGAATTAAAAACTTTAATTAAACAATGTCTCAAAGAAATGCACGTGGTGCCCATGGAGGAGGACGTGCTGAGCAGGGGGAGGGAGGCTTGACAGGGATCAGAAATTGGGAAACGTGAAAGAGAGGGTTTTCCGAGACGGGTCCAGGACCCGGACCAGTGCCATTCGTACCCAAAGAACCCGAATATTCGATCCATGCAGGCGTTCAGGAGAAGCAAAATTTCAAAGTCCGCCAGTGAACCAAGGTGGTCCATTGGCAAACAGAATCTCATTAGTTTTTTTTTTTTTGATCAATAACACTTTCATTAATTCATCAATAGAAGATTTACAAAAGGAAGACAAACACGCTTTTCTTCCAAGAGCAACAAAGAACCTCAAGAAAGGGAAAAAAGAAAAAGAAAAGAAAGAAAACACACTAAGGTTACAGCTTGGCCCAAAAAAGTGAATCCCTTTCTGCCCCTTGTTTAGCTAAACCGTCAGCTAGGGAATTAGTCGATCTTTTAACCCAACGTATCTTAACTTCCATCTCCCGCACCAGCCACTTGAATTTCCTCCTCTCATTATTGTACTTCCATAAGCCATTGTGATCTTTAAGCAGCCACCCTATCACCACCTCTGAATCCCCTTCAATTAAGAGTTTCCTGATGTTCAACTCCTTAGCTTTTTGGACTCCTTCCATAACTGCAAAGATCTCAGCTCTAAGGGAGTCACCCACTCCAATTGGGCCTGAGTACATGGCAGAAATGACCCCAATTCCCGATTGTCCCGGATTTCCCCTGCTACACCCAAACAGAATCTCATTAGTTTGGTTCGTCTAGAGCCGACCTGGGTCAGCCAACCTCCCAAACAATCAGAGTTGACAGGGATCGAGACTCCAGTTGAGCCGGTTTCTCTGTCATCGGACACTGAGTTCAGAGGTGATGGTCAGGGTGGTTCGCCACTCCCCTTGCATCCCCCTGATTCAGAGAGTCTGCCAGAGGCTGAACACAGGCGGCGACAAAAACAGCTTCTTCCTCTGGTACCTGCGGAAGATAATCTGCTGGTGGTGACTCCCATTGCAGTGATGGGGTCTGAGGTTCAAAGTGATAGTGTGGTCGACTGTCTCAATCAATTCAAAGAGCCAGAGAGAAGTGGGAGAAGCCCTGATTTGACGAAGAGGAGTGAAGAAGCTCACCTGAAGGAAAATAAGGATAAAACAAATTCTTTGGAAGGCCAGGAAGGTAAGTACAGTAATAATGTTACTAATCCCTCCTCTTGGGTGACCTTGAAGCTCTTGGGGTTGGGAAATTTCCCGGGGATTTCGATGGAGGGGATGGAARCTAAAACATAAAGTTTTTGGAAGGGATTGAACAAAGAGTTCTTATGGAAAGGGGAAAATGGCGGCAAAACAAGGAGGAACCAACTCAAAGAGACAGAGAAATGATGAGACTTACTTGGGGGATGAATGACAAGGTGGGGAGTAGTGAAGGGGTAGCAAGGGGGTCTAAGAAGGTTTGAGGTGGGGGGTTGATTGTATTCTGATAAGTTTTTTCATGGAGTTAAAAATTTTATCTTGGAATGTTAGAGGTTTGGGTTCGGGAAGGAGAAGATTAGTGGTTTGTGATTCCCTAAAGATGTCGAAGTCAAAGATTGTCCTTCTCTAAGAAACAAAATTGGAGAAATTAGATGCTGCTATTATCCGAAGTATTTGGGGGGAAGATCAGGTTAGGTGGAACGCATTGGCAGCTTCTGGGAGTGCAGGGGGCCTTCTGAGTGTTTGGGATCCTTCATTTTGTAGCCTTGTTTCTAGCAGAATTGGAAATTTCTCAATTTCTTTAATTATGAAGCTCCATGATGGCAATGTTATCCAAACTATAAATTTTTATGGACCAACAGTTTCAAACCTCAGGGCGGGGAGGAATTATCAGATATGAGAGGATCACTAATCCATCCTTGGATCATTGGTGGAGATTTTGATGTGACTTTATCGGTGGAAGAGAAAAATACAAGGGGTAGAAGAACAGTGTTGATGAATTTGTTTGCTGATTTTATCAATAATATGGAACTTATGGATATCCCTATTCAGGGCAACAGATTCACCTGGACCAATAATCAAGAAAATCCCACCCTTGTGCGGCTGGATAGATTTTTGGTATTCTCAAATTGGGATGATATCTTTCCTGATTTTAGGCAGGTCACCCTCCCTAGACTGGTTTCTGATCACAGTCCTATTCAGCTTATATGTGGTCATCATGAGAGAATCAGAGCTCCTTTTAAATTTGAAAATGCCTGGTTTGAGGAGGACAAGCTTATTCCTTTGATCAATTCTGTGTGGAATGAGCTTCAGGTGGAGGGTTCTAGCTCCTTTATTTTGGCAAAAAAGTTAGGTGTCATCAAAGGAAAATTAAAAATTTGGAATTTGGAAAATAGATTGAATTCGGGTACTGAAAATAAAGCTTTATTGAGTACCATTGAAGAGATTGACAAAGCTGAAGAGGTGGGTCCCTTAACTGAAGAATTGAGATTAAAAAGATCCAAAGCAAAAAAAAAAAAAAAAAACAGCTATGACAAGTTGGCTGTAAAGGAAGAAATTAAGTGGAGACAAAGAGCCAAAACCACTTGGCTAAAGGAGGGTGATAAAAATACGAAATTTTTTCATAAAATGGCAAATGCCCAAGCAAGAGCTTCTTCAATCAACAAGCTGGTGTGGGAAGATAGGAGTGGAGAATCATGTTCAGAGATTAAGTCAGTAGCAGTTTCCTTTTATAAAAATCTCTATAATGAAAGCTGGACCCATAGGCCTTTTCCTACTGATCTTCCTTTAAAGCAATTGAATGAAGATCAGAAACTTTGGCTTGAGAGACCCTTCACAGAGGAAATAAAGGCAGCAATTAAGAAGTTAGAATGTGATGAATCACATGGGCCAGATGGTCTTACAAACCTTTTTTACTTAAAATGCTGGGATTTTGTGAATAAAGATTTGTTGAATGTGTTCCAGGCCTTCCATACAAATGCACCTCTGCAAAGAAGTTTGAATGCTACATTTATTACTCTCATTCCAAAGATTGAGGGGGCTGTGAACATTAAGAATTTTAGGCCAATTAGTCTCCTGCACAATTTCTATAAAATCTTGGCTAAAGTCTTAGCAGAAAGAATGAAAGGGGTGCTAGACAGTGTAATTTCTAGTAACCAAAGTGCATTTGTTCTGGGGAAGCAGATGGTTGATTCAATTCTCATTTCAAATGAATTGATTGACTCCAAAAGAAGAGAGGGTACCCCGGGTGTAATTTGTAAACTTGATATTGAGAAAGCATTCGATGAATTGCCTAGATCTGGTGTTGGAAAAAACAAACTTTGGGCAGAAATGGAGAAACTGAATCAGAGTTTGTGTTAAGACCCCAAAATTTTCCATCCTAATTAATGGCCAATTGAAGGGGTTTTTCGGTAGCTCTAGAGGTTTGAGGCAGGGAGATCCTCTTTCCCCTTTGTTGTTTATTTGTGTCATGGAAATTCTAACTCT